AAAATTGTTTACTATGAGATTAGAAATTTGATTTCAGCAGAATATGTTAGCAGATTCCGCCTGGTCGACTGCCGGTTAACTTTTAGGAACATATTTGCGGACCCTATTCTCGAGGCAAGCTCCTTCAATTCCAGTCAAAGTTGCTGATCTACTAATCATTTATAAGTAGGTTTTCGAAACGACCAGGATAGCTTATAAAAGAGCTGTATTTATCCCATTTTGGTTAATGAGGCGAAAGGCTGGCAGTTGAATTTCCCCGCAATAATATGAGTAGTCCTCATGCTTCCAGTGCATTTTACATAGTCATTCTTCACAAAAGGTATTCTCATCTAAGCAGAAGTGAACTGCCAGACCTACCATAATATGCGTCGACACCATTATTCTACTAATTTCACAGAGTGCTGCCTTTCGAATAGAATTCACATCCAGGCAGGAGTAGGCTGCGGTTGCAACCTCGTTCAAACTAGTCTCATCAACACCCCCAGCGGGACTCGAACCTGTGCACTGGTAGTGCAGCATACAGTCCCGTCACATTGAGCACCTTAACTTTTTTTTTGCCCTCTGACGAAAGGGAACTTGTGACAGCGTTGCGTTGCGGTTGACGTGTAGAGACTGTATGCTGCATCATCACAACACAGATTCGAGTCCCGCTGTGGGTGCTGATGAGACCAGTTCGGACGGGGTTGCAAGTGTAGTCCACTCCTGCCTCGATGAGAATTCCCTTTGAGAGGTGAGACTGTAAAATTTATAGAAAAATGAGGCCTACTCATATAATGGTAGGAAAGTTAATCTACTATTCCCTCGTTACCCTAAAAAAATAGAAGGAATACAGCAGAGATTGAAAGGTCAATTTCACCAGAAGACGACCAGCTGTCGATTGGTTTTATCGAAGCATTCATGCTGACGCTGTCTCCAAAGTAATCTTCTTCGAATCCGGTGAAGAGGTGCTAAGCTTTCGTTGTCATATGACGGACATCATCAGAGCAAGTTATTATCGTCATAACCAAATTCAAGCTAACGAGTCAAGCAAACTCACCGGCAAATCCCTAAAAAGTGGTATATGTACTCTACATCTGGCCTCTTTGATCAAGTATAAAGAATTTGGTAAGTTACATGTTAGCTTGACTTTGGTTGTGACGACCATACCTTGCTCTGATGATGTTCGTCCTATGATGGACGAAAGCTTAGCACCTTTTCATCAGAATCGAAGGATATCAACTCGGAAACAGCGTCACTATGAATGTTCCAGTATAAAGCCAATCGACGGCTGGTCAAGTGGAATCTGCCGTCGTCTTCTGGTGGAATCGACCTTCGAATCTATTTACCAAATACTCTCACTCGAAATGGAGGTAAGCACAACAATTATAAAATAAGAGATTCCTCGAAAACCAACTTTTCTTCGAATACAGCAGAACTCAATGAGCTATTCTTCGTTATTTGACAGAAACCCTCAGAGTAGAATATCATTCGTATAAAGCTATTCAAAATGTTTTCAGATTAAGTATTGTTTCGAGACTACCAGTAACTCAGTAACATGAGATGTAATCACTGGTAGTCTCGAAACAATACTAAATGCGAAAAATAAAGTATAGTAATCGATTTTTATAGCAAATATACGTTTGCTTTATCAAAAATCCCACCACAGAATATGATATGGCGAAAAGGCCTGGTCTTCCTTGAAAATTCACATTTGCCCTGTGACCCAAAAGGCGCTGGTGGCAGTGTAGCCGAGTGGTTAGCGTGTCAAGCTACCATCCTGCACTGTCGCAGTTCGACTCCTCCTGAGGGGTTGATAAGACCGATGCGAGGTCGAAACTGCCGTCCACCCTGAATGAGAATAACTTTTGGGAAAGCAAGGCTATGTGAAATTCAATGAAAACGTCAGCTCAACCCATATCCTTGTGGGAAAATTCTTCTTCTACAAGTCCTTCATCACCTTAAACGAAATTGGTTGAATACATCTCCTATTCAAAATGAGTCAATAACCTTCACCAGCTTATCCATATATGCATTTTACTCAGGTATAAAGTGATTTAGTAGCTCAAGAAATATTTAAATCTAGAAATGTATGTGCCCTTATGTGTAAGTATAAGTACGAAACCAGCAGTGATAGTAATTAAAACATAATGTATCATCTAGCCTTGGTCATTAAGGTTTAAGGACCAACCTCACTTTTTATTTATTTCAAAAATGAACTAATGTTTAGCACACGTCTCAATAAGCTGATGAGCTGTTTGATTTTCTGTGAGAAAGCAAAGTTGAACGCAAAAGTATATAAAATGACATTGAAATAAGGAGCATTAGAAATTAAAAACTAGATGATCCACTTCGATTTTTTCAGCGGTTCAACATCCTTTCTATTCAAAGTTTACCAATTAAGTACAAATCATTGTAACTTAGAAGATATGAATACAAATTGGGTTTCAAGAGTCCCTTAGTGATGGATTGTAACATGACATTCAATTTTAAAGGTAAAATTAGTTTGAAGGAATTCGTGATGTGGTCTCACTGGAAACCGAAGGAGGATTTTCACATAAGGAAGACTGCTGACTTGTGCGAAGAAGTCCTTAGCTCACCGTCCTGCCATACCGATGAACCCATGCTAAGCTTTCGTCTGTACCAGCCTGACAGACATAATCGGAGTAAGGATACATACTTTAAGAAATAGAGCAAAAATATGCTATACCAAGGGAAAAAGTGTCTGCAACCCTAATCGCTTTTTTAAACGCTTAACCTTGCGATCTCAATGAGGCATCCCATGATTTGGTTTGCGAATGTGGGAAGTCTTTTCATGACCAGGAAGTGAATGCAGTTAATTCATGTTTGGGCTTGTGCTATTGTCTATTGTGTGAATGTAATGCTTATGCCATGGGAAGTGTGGTAGCCCGAACAAGACTTGAGGCTAATCCAGCCTCCTTCCATTGTGAATTGGCTCTACCTGCTCTCTCTCCTTAAGCTTATCCAACAGCCACGAATAGTTCCTACTCAGATTCTTGCACTTTATCCTCCTATTCAGAATGTTGTCTGCTTTTCTCATTTTATGGAGTCCCTAATCTTACGTTTTGATGTGAAGTCTATTTGACCAGTAAATAATTGGGTTTTAGAAATGAAGAGAAGCTGGGTTTCCACCCGCCTTCTCAAACGAAATGAAAGGTATGTCACTTGTGGTTTGAGTCTTCCATAATAGCCATTAATTCAGCGAGCTCAGATTTTGGAATCCGAAGACCATTACATGTGGTTTTATGTAACCATAGTCTCTTCTGGATGGGTTAGCAGTTCTTCCCAACCACATAAGCGCATAACCTTGCAGAAGTCTGATCTAGAAAAAGGTTCCGAAAATTCTCTCAACGAAGGAACTACTGTAGAAAGTGTGAATTTCTCTTTATACATTGTTGTGATGTGACACTTCCTCCGTAGATCAATCAACTCTTTCACAAGCTGACAGAAAGCTAACGTCCTAAAAAGGAGTAACGGAAATAGAACACGGAGTAGACCTAAGGAGAAAGAGAGAGAGAGAGAGAGAGGGAGTGCAGTAAGAGCCACTGGACAAGAGGAGGAGGCTGGATTAGTCTCAAGTCTAGCTATGACTATCACACTTCCCGTGACATGAGCATACACACACACACACACACACACACACACACACACACACACACACACAATAGACAATAGCACAAGCCC